TTATATATATATATATATCATACATATATATTATATATATATATATTATATCATATGTATCTATATATATAATTATATTTTTTTAATTTGTCGGTAAATGCAACGACAGTTATTCTTCTATGCGAAGATATACGATAATTACCTGTATAACAATAACTTTTGCTGAAAAAACAAATTTTCTGGAATGTTTCAAAAGTGTAGAATAAAATATTTGAACACATTGAAAAGTTTATATTCCAGGCTTCTGTGATGATAGTCAATCTTCTTTTCTTTTCCCATTGGATGATACAACATTAATATCGCTGTAATCTCGTGCAATATCGATATACTGAAAAATATTATTTTTATAAATAAACAAATTTGTTTACTTGTAAATATAAAAATTATTTTTGATATATATACACAGTAAGTCAAGATCGTGGTTGGCCTTACTCAAAGCTAATAAAAGATATCGCCCTAAATCTATCATGAATCTAGAGGGCACCTTTGTCCTTGATGCATTATCAAGGAAGATGTCATTGAACTTTCTTAAGAGAATCACATTAAGCACCATGAGTACCGAATACGTATCACGCTGTGTTCCTCTGCATTCACCCGAAAGGTCCAAAAATGTCACAATTAGCGACTGCTAAATATATGAAAAAATCGAAATCATTCGTACAGAAGTGGGTGCAGCGATATAATGTGGCAAAAAATGTCGATGATTTAGCGGAACGTGGCAAAGTTGGATATGCAAAGTGGACAAAAAAGACGATAAAAAAATAGTGAATCTATTTTAACAGGAAATCCTGGCTTAACACTGCGTCAAGGACAAGCAAAATTGAAGCAGAAAGGTTTAGATATATCATACGAAATTATTCGAACCTATCTCAAGGCTAATAACATGAAATAATGCAACACAGCTTGTGCTGCATACATTAGTAAACAATTTTAAAAAGTAAAATTAAAATGTAAGCCAAAAAATAAAATTTACGCACAAAAAAAAATATATATATATATATACACACACACATTAGAATTAAAGCATACAAACATAAGAGAGTTAAATGAGTCTGATTTTTTTATTACCTTTCTTGGGACGAGAAATTCCAGAATTTGTAATATTATATAGCACAATGACACTACAAGCAAGTAGGCCAATACACCGCTTTGTATTTGACTAGCTAATCGTTGTCCTAGATTTCGTTTTGCTTCACGTTTTACTAAATTATACACTATTTCTGTACGTTTGGTAATGTTGAACCAATTATAATATAAACCTATTCTCCTATGTATCTCGAAAGGGCATCCGATATCGCCCTTTTTGTAATCCATTATAGCCATCTCCAGTCCTTCAATTAATGCAGGTACAGTAGGTTCCACGAGGTAAATCAGATCCGGTGGCAAAACTTCCGGAATACCTCCAACTTTCGTTGACACTACTTGCAAACTATAAAACAATATTTGTTATTGTATATTTATTTTCGTTTATTCAAAAACTTTGTTAGTAGAAGAATATATGATAATTATTATTTGTTAAAACAATTAGATTCAAAATAAAATCCAAATTAAGGGTACCATAAATATGAAAGACGGCAAAGTGTATTATGTCGTAACTTACCCACAAGAGGCTGCTTCTACAATAGCCATACAGTAAGCCTCTGTCAGGCTCGTATTTAGGAAAATATGACCCTTGTTCAGAACGTGTCTGACTTGAGAATGCTCCAGACTGCCTAATAAAGTTACTCTATGTTGCAACAGATTTCTTTCCCGCACCTCTTCTATGAGCCATCTTTTCGGACCGTCTCCGCCAATTAAGAATTGTACATTTTTGTGACGTAAACAGATCTCGGGTATTACATGGGCTAGAAGGTCAACGCCCTTCCTATATACTAATCGCGATACTATTACTATGGTAACTGGAAAATCATGATTACAATTATGGCAATCAGAATGAAACCTTGTTAATACAGACAACTATAGACCTCGGAAGCTAAACTTACTAAAATCGTTGTTCCGTTTACTGATATCGGGTGTAAATAATGTGGTATCAACTGCATTTGGGATAACCGACACTTTTTCCTTTTGCACTTTGGCTCGTAATACTGTATTTTCCTTTCCAGTATGAGACACGCATATGCAATGATCGCAATCAACTAGCGATATTTCGAGAAATTTATTTGTCAGAATAGCGGACGCGTCCGCAAAACCAAAAAGAGAATGATCCGTGAAAACAGTCTGCAAAAACACAGCGTAGTCACTTGATACTACCCGAATTTTATCATTGGATCAATGAAGACTTACTTTTAGTCCCATTAATCTACCGATTAACATCCCTTCGTGGGCTAAAGCAGAGAATGCAGAATGGCCATGTATTATCTGTATCTCCTCTCTGATGAAGATATATCTAATGAGTGGAAGAGAGCATACCATCGTTGGAAGAACACATTGGTTATAGAAAACCTTGACAGGGATATAATATACCTTAAATAAGACACAAGGATATAAGAATAGAAGACAACATGAAGAAGTTTAAAGAGATAATTGAATAATGATGATTTCATTCACTTGCATTACATTAATAACGAATTTGATTAGACACTCAAATGTGCACTGTTGCATATTAAAGCCATTGTATTGTATTTTGAGTAAAATGAAATGCAAATATTTCAAATTATAAAAAATATATTTTACCTAACAGCATAAGTATATTAAAAATTTTGAGTTTAATCTGTTTATTATCTAAGTATGAAAAAATAGCTAAAATAGATAAATTTTTAGCAAGTACTGCAATATTGATGTATATTGCATCTAATCATATAGATGACAGACATAGAATTTAGATTTATACTATAATTCTATGTGTATGATACATTAATTTAATCAAATACAAAAAAAAAACAGCTATAATTCTGGAGCAGCAAAATATTTCTTTGAGTATATATTTATATTATATAATCATATATATTTTTACATGAATTTGTATACAATGACTTTAATATCAATGTGTGTTGATGCTTTCAATAGAATTTGTTATTAATTGTACATTAAAGGTTGCTTTATACAAAATATCTAAATGCAAGGTATAATATAATCAACATTAGCAATGAGGTACATATATATGATTGAATATTAATTATTCGAAATATTGATACATTATTATGATTTTACATTTAATTTTACTAATTTCATATAGAGCACTACAGCAGCTTTTAGTATGCATTAATGTAATATAATGCAAGTTCGAATAAGAATTCGAATAAGAGAATTCATTATAAGAGTGAAACATACTTTCAGACCGTTTGTCATATATCTTATTCCTACTCTATCTCCATAGGAGTGGGTGAGTATTACCACCTTGTGCCCATGTTCCAGAAGACATTGAGAAAGATTGAAGATATGCTCTTCTACGCCGCCCATGTTTGGATAGAAGAAATCTGAGACCATGCTGTTTGAAATAGTATATTATATGTGAATAAAATAAAATAGATATAATATGTTTATAAATAATGTGTGTGTGTGTGTGTGTGTGTGTGTGAGAGAGAGAGAGAGAGAGAGAGAGAGAGAGAAAATAGTACATGTCATTAAAACGAAAACATTACGAGTACGAACCAAATTTTGTGTCTTGCACCGTTCATCTTCACACCCGTGCATGATTTATACTGTTAGATTTAAATTTGCGATTGCAAATTTGCCGTATCATCGCCGAGCGCATTCGCTCATCACGCCGTTTTCGCTTGATGATTCTATTACTATCTCATTGTGGCGCATGTCAATTTTCCTCGAATCATGTTTATGCATTTCTAATCAACCTATCCGCGTTGATTGATAGCTATAGACAATAGTGAATAACTAATGCATATCCATGAGAGCATTCTAACCTCAACAAGAGAAAAAAGATCCAAATTCTCTTCGCGCGGGATTCAAGCCACTATAGGAGAGAAGTTGCGATAAGGACATTGAAGGACATAACCTGCACAACACTGCTCTCTGGCTGTGTTTCAAATTTAGTTTACTGCCAGTTTACTGAAAATGCGACAGTTTACGTTACGTGCACTATAGATTTCCAGTAAAGGCAGTACAGGCAGTCAATTTTGGAACGTACAGCCTCTGTATCATGCAGACAACTTGTGTTCTCTCTGTCGATACATCGATTTAATTAACCGATTATCTACAAGATTATCTATCGGTAAAGACAGATGGATAATAAAAGAGTTATCGGCTGTAGACAATCGAATTATAGATTCGAAGTTTTGAATGCAGATGTCATCAATTCGTAACAGATTACTTAAGTGTTCGCGTCTTCTCGTGCTGTTGAAACCAAATAAATAAATAATAAGAAATAATAAGTAAGTGCTGCAGTTGAAGTGTGAATCGATATTCTGTTGAGATGCCGATCTTGGACAAAAGAAAAGGGGACGATATTCTAGCATTGGTTCCTGCTTCGAAAAGGACCAAAAATGAAGTCGTCTTCAGCAGCAGAGAGAAGGCGGTTGTGCAAAGCGTGAGTATAGCCACAAGTATATATCTCTTGAAACTCTTGTAATGTTTGTGCACATAATAAAATTTTAAAGGGCCCACCACGGACATCCTCCTTAATGTCAATGATAATGCTCCTCGAGGGTCATCAAGGAGACATTTTCTCAATAGAGTTTCATCCGGAGGGACAGTACCTCGCATCCACGGGATTTGATCGACAGATCTGTATGTTTTATACATAGATCGACATATTTGCACATAAATTTTAATTAGTTTATTTAATGAAGTATATTGCGCCTTTACAGTCATTTGGAATGTTTACGGAGAATGTGAAAATATTGGCATTATGACTGGACACAGTGGAGCAGTGATGGAATTACATTTCAGTCCGGATGGCAATCATTTATACACAGCCAGCACAGACATGACACTGGGTTTGTGGGATATAGTAGCTGGTACGCGAATTAAGAAGTTGAAGGGCCATACTTCGTTTGTAAATTCTGTATCAGGCGCACGAAGGGGACCTACGTTGCTCTGTTCGGGCAGTGACGACAGTACGATACGTATTTGGGATCCGAGGAAACGGGGGCAGTGCTATACATTGAACAATACATATCAGGTACCATACAATACATAAAAGTATTCTTGTTGAATAATTTAAATTATGTGTCTATTGATTAATATTTATAATCTGTTTTTATTTTAAGTAATGCCTAAGATGTTAACACATCTGTGATTATTTTATAATATCTTAAGATTATATTTATAAGACTAATTATAAGAACCTATTGTGAATACTAGTTTATGTATGAACTTTTATTATCTAGGTTACTGCAGTGACGTTCAATGATACAGCAGAACAAGTGATTAGCGGTGGTATTGACAATGACATAAAGGTGTGGGATCTTCGAAAGAATGCTGTGCTCTACAAATTGAAAGGACACACTGACACCATTACCGGATTGAGTCTCAGTCCTGATGGATCTTACATACTTTCCAATGCTATGGATAACACGTTGAAGATATGGGACGTGAGACCATTTGCTCCTTATGAACGTTGCGTGAAAATACTGTCTGGACATCAACATAACTTTGAAAAGGTAGTCTAATATTTTTTTCTAATCTAATTGATATCCATAAGTTACATTTGACATCGATTCTTTTTACTTGATTTATTTAAGATGATTTTAATCCTCTGAATTTAATGACAAAATTTCTAGCACAGTTATTAATGTTGAATTTGTAAGATCTATTTAATTTGCTTTAATTGGAAAGCATTAATTAACTTCTAAGAATCAAAATGACATAACTTATATAGAAATCTCTCTCAATATGCTAGATATAGTTTAATACGAATAATTCAAATTTACAGAGGTAACATAAAGAAAATTCTATTGTTTGATATTTTTGGCAAAGAGATTTATAATTGAGTGAATCTTATAAACTCATCACTGTCAGATTTGGAGGGTTAAATATAATAGAACAGACTGTATGAATACCAGTCTGTAATAGTTTGAGAAAAGAAATATTTATATTATAAATCTTGGGATATTACATTGTTTGATAAATTGTACATTTTTTTTAGAATCTTCTGAGATGCGCGTGGTCACCGGATGGTAGCAAAGTATCGGCGGGATCGTCAGACCGATTTCACTACATCTGGGATACTACGAGTCGTAGAATATTGTACAAATTGCCGGGACACAATGGATCTGTAAACGATATCGATTTCCATCCAAAGGAACCTATAGGTATGTAGTGATTCCATAAGATAAACGACACTATAAATAGAGAAATGTAAATTTTGTATATTTTCTAATTTATTTCGAGGAATAACAATGTTCCAATTTATTTCAGTGTGCTCGGGATCTAGCGATAAACAAATCTACTTAGGTGAAATCGAGACCTGATAACACGGAACTCATATTTAATACATTTATGTATTTGTAAAAAAAATAGAGAGAAGAAAAGACAGAACCGTCTTTGAATATCGATAATTTTTCTCTTTGTTTCATTTCCTTTACTATATTGTGCATTGTTCAATTCGTATGTGATATATTTACGTATTTATAAAAAAATAAAGAGAACAAGAGAAAGAAGTGTCTGAATATCAGTAAATTTTTCTTTCATTAATTTCATTTCCTTCGCTACATTGTGCATTTTCCTATTGTCCTTTCAGAGATAATCAACATCAATAAATCACATGCGAGCTCATAATAATACGCGGAGCCGATAATAAGAGTCAATCGCCCGAATCGCTTTCTACAATTTCTACGATCGACAATATAACAAGCGCATCTCTCTGGCACAATGTACATACAGTACAATCGTTCGATTAATCGCTCTCGACCAACTCGTGCGAGAGTTCGCGGCGCAGTTCGTGGCGCAGAGCGGGGAGCACACGCGACGTGCGCGTGCGAGAGAGCGAATTTTTGTCACTACCCGTAGGGGAGTGCTGGCGGCGGCGGCGGGGCGGCGAAACTAACCACGAACTAAACAGAAGAAAAAAAGATGGCCGCCGCGAGGCTGCCATGAAGGGGCCGCGTCGCTGCTCGCGCTCGCGGAAATGGGACGTTGCGACATCCGAGTGTCATCATCGTCATAGTGAGAAGTGTCAAGCGTGCGGTGTACATCGGCGAGGGTGACACGGTGCGCCGGAGAGGAAAAGCGGAGCGCGGTAGCGCGCTGCACCGCGCTGCACTCGTCCTCGTCGCGCGTTCTAACGACGACGGTGACGAGAAGAGAGAGGACGGTGACGGTGACGACGACAACGACGACGGCCGCAGCGGCGACAGAGGGATCAGAGGGCGCGACAGCGACGAGGACGACGACGACGGCAGTAGCGACGGTGGCTGGCAAACTAGAGACGCGCGAGATGGCATCCGACGGGTAAGGGCCATCGGTCAGACGAGAAACCTGTCTTTCCCTTTAATTGCACCCGACTGCACCCGCGGGGTGCAGCGCCGTTTGCTACTCTAGGGAAAACGCGACTCACACGGGTACGGGACCGACGGTGCTCCGCAGATCGATAGTGAATTTTTTTTTACATGCACCCGTCCCAGTTTTCTCCCTCTCTCCGCGTCTCCGTCTTGCACTCTACTGTCTCCGTTCTTTCCCTTCGTACGAGCAGTAAGAAAGAGAAAGAGAAAGAGAGAGAGAGAGAGAGAGAGAGAGAGAGACACAGGAGACTTCACCGTCGCCTTTCTGATAACGGAGCGTGAGCACAATTTTCCGCTGCACTCCGTACTTCTTTGCGGCGCTTTCGCTCTGAAGTTCGCCGCTTGAAGTAGTTCGCAATTGGGCGGGTCTCTCTCTCTCGCTCGCTCCTTCGCGTGCGCACATTTTTCGCAGTTCGCGTTTTTCGCTCATTTGCGTTGGTCGCCGTAACGCGTTTTCCTTTCGGTACCGTGTCTCCATTTTTTTTTCTTCTCCCGTTCTCCATCTGTTCTATTCTCCCTCTTTCTTCCTTCCTCCTTCCTTCCTTCTCTAAAACGATATTCCGCACATACGCTCTCAATCCATGCGCGAATGGATCTCCGCGGCCTATTTCAGCCAATTAAACGGCCAGCATGACATCAGAGTGGACAGCCTCTCTCGTTGCATCGCGGCCCAGCATTCCTATCAATTTGCGGGGTCCGTTAAGGCAGGGGTGCGGCAAGGGCACGGACGGATGGACGGATGGATGGACGGGCGAAACACCCTCCTTCTTCGTTCACCCCGATTATCATCGTGTCGTCGTCGAGAACATTCTTGCAATAATTCTTGCGAATTTTAGACGGTCCCTCAATCCTCTCTTTTTCCAGCCCCCCTCGTTTAGTTTGCAGCGACGATTTTTTTTCCCCTCCCGAGATCGAGCAGTACGACGTTCCAATTAGATTCCTCGGTTAATAATCACAGTTAATCACCATCGTTGCCCGCTTTGAAACGTACACATACTCGCGATATCGCGAGACATCTCTTTCTTTTTCACGCCCGGTCTATCCCGAATTCCTCGTGGAGATCGATGTTGCCGACGTATTTCCCGAAGATTGCAGCGAAATGCCGTGGATGTAAATAAAACATGGAAGCTACGGTGCTTCGTCGGTCCCGTTGCAACGCGACGATATTTCCGTCGATGTCTTGCACCCGGAATCGCCTTTGACATATCGATCCCGCCTTACGATTTTATCGTGAAAAGATGTAATGAAAATTACAAATTTGTATTTATGTGCGCATATATATAGTGTATGTATATATATATATATATATATATATATATATATATATATATATATATACACACGCACACACACACACACACATTCATCAAAAGTATATGTATGTACTTCACTTCATATATATCATTTTGTGAGTGATAAAAAATTGTCAGAGGCGCAAGTAACTCGTAACGAGTGAAAGTTTAAAGGAAAAGAGTGATTTAGAGCTGTTGCGCAAGGTATATACCTTTGTCGCCGGTTATTTTAGGATTCGATAGATTCGCGATCGCAGGAGAAGTAAGGCTCCCCCCGACGATAGATATTAATGGCTGACAATTACAGTAGGATGGAATGGGTGGAGATCATAGAGCCACGCACCAAGGAACACATGTACGCGAACCTGACCACGGGAGAATGCGTATGGGATCCTCCACCGGGTGTACCTGTGTAAGCTACTCTCCTATATTGACTCTTTAATGCCTATTTCTATCAATGTAAATTAACTTTAATCTCCGTTCAACTTATTCCTCGTCTTTTTCTAGTTTTAAAGATTAGAAAAAGATGAGGAATAAGTTGAACGGAGATTAAAGTTAATCTACATTAGTAGAAACGGGCGTAATAATTTTCGTCCAGAATCCTAGGCAAATTTTTTTTAATTTTTTAATATAATTTTTTAGCATTTCCATATCTTCTGAATCCCGTTTCAATTATATGAAAAATTGAACCCGGTGAAATAATTTTCACACACAATGTAGGATGCATTTCATCTGGCGCTCACAACATTTTTATTTGAAAAGCAGTATTTGTAAAACATTTGTATTTTATATTTCAGCAGAGCACAAGAAAGTTTTTGTATTTTGTACTTCATGGGAGCATATAAAAATATTTTATGTTTGGTATTTCATCATACTTATTAATAATAAAAGATTGAAAGTATTTCGTATTAAGATCGAGATTATTCTTTAAATTACAAAATACAAAAGATTTTCAATTTTTTGATTTTAAATGCAAAATACAAAATACACTTATATTGCAAATACTATGTTTTAAGTAAAAGTATTTCAAATATACATCTTTCCAAGCTTCTTATTCAACATTTGATTTGAACAAGAAATAAATGGCTGCGTTCAATATAAAAAGCAACTTTGCAAGTATTGTAAAATTTTTTAATATAAATGATTTATACATATAAGTCTATACCTATATTTGAAATTGTTTTAAATACAATTTTAAGATGTAAGCCAATCAAAGATATTAATATCTTAACATAACATTACTTAAAATAAGAATGAACTATGAATATTATTCTTAGATTCAGTGAGAAATTAAGGATAAGGCTAATCATATTAAAGAATTTTACAACAGTTGCAAAGCTGCTTTTTCTGCTGAACGTAGTCATTTGATTCCAAGAGTGTTGCAGGGATCAAGTGGAATGTAGTCATAGTATTGTGGTAAACAAAAAATGTTATATAGACACAAGGCTCCATAACGGATAGTTTTTGAGTAATGGTATATCAAAGGTGTAAAGCTTGGGATAATTGAAAAACAATAGGAACAAGAAATAACAAATTTTAAACTATCAGAAATTGTGTGTATATAGATAAGTTAAAATATTTATGGTTTCTAACAGATTGAAATTTGTGTTTCTTTGTTCCTATTGTGTTTTTTAATTATTTTTTAGGTTTAAAATTTATATTCATAGATCATTTGTACACTACAGTTGCTTTCCATTAGACACAAGCCGATACAAGCTTTATTTTATTTTTCTTAGTATTCAGTGAAGATAGAATGAACAAAGACAAAACGACTTGTGTCACTAAATAGAAAGTATCCTCATAGCTTAAAAGCTATCTATTATTGAGTCTTGTGTTTATTCCTTTTTTTGTTTACTACATTATAAGCTATTTTATATGTAAAAACAAATTCATTTCACCGGGATCCAATTTTCTATATATATAATTAGTCTTTTTTAAAATTAGTCTTTTTTATAATTAGTCTACCTTTTGTCAGAATTTCTGTATAATTTTATAACTTTTTAAAAAATTTCTCTAATTTTTTATATAATTTGGAACATTTGGAACATCAGAATGTTAACAAAGTCTATATTCTTTAAGAGTTTTTTTATGTATGTGTGAATATTCTGAAATATTCTAAGATTTCTCATTCTATATTTTTCGAAAATATTTATAAAATTTGAAGAAATTTAAGAGGTATTTTTAAAAAATCTTTATGAATTTTTAAAATATGAAATATTCTTAAAAATATGAAATTTTGTAAGAATTCTTTCTGACTCTCGTCAGAGGTTTTCTGCATCTATTCGATATTCCTGAAAATTCATGAAAAAATTAGCCTCGAAATATTTGTTACAATAAATCTATATAGGTTTTTTAAATCACCGGTAGATAGTATATTTTCAAAGTTGGATCAATATGTAAGACCTAGTTAGCTTTTATTTTAAAGTTATACTTTAAAGTAAGTTGTTAAATTCAATTATATCCACTTAATTTAATTATATTATACGTACCGGCTAATTATTTTAAAGTGGTATTATTGTAATTACTTTAGAGAAAGTTGTCTTAGAGAAAGTACTAAGTCATCAGTTATCACAATATGTAGTACACGTCCCGTTTTATAATCTATAGGAAAAAGACGGACAACAATCAGTGGTGGGAGTTATTCGATCAGAATACCTCGCGGTTTTATTATTACAACGCAACGTCTCAGAAGACCGTATGGCACCGCCCGACGGATTGTGACATCATACCGTTGGCGAAACTTCAGGTAAAATAAACATTTCGATATCGTTTGATTTGATTTAACACATTTCTTATACAATATTGGTGCTGCGAGATGTGAGTCACACATTGATTGAGCTACTCCAGTGCGTTCAAAGTACGATAAAATCCAGATAAGATCGTGCCCCTCATTGGGATATCTGTCGGGATCTGTACTTATGAATCACATAAAATCTGCGAGTTCCGCATATCCTCTCGCACGCGCGCGAATGTGTACATATTCATAGATGTGTGTAATGATTTGTGAGTTTCTCTGGAATAACGTACGTTACAGAACTCGTGTATCTTAAAGTGGCGGAGATATAAGTGTGCAAGCGCGTCTGCTCTCTTCTCAGCTATAAATAGACGTTTGCAGCAGGGAGAAAAAATTCTGGTTTACATTATACTACAGTACTATCATGAAACTTCTTTCGTGATAATGTTATTAGTTCATTCTAGATTTGACAAAAATATGGTTGCCAGATGTTCCGGAAAACTATTCTACTTCACACCTACCTATTATAATATACGATTAAATGTAACATTATAAATTACTCTCTATTTGTGTCATAAAACATATTGTATTCTACATTTTATATATAGAGAAGATTAATGTTGGCGATTAATTATCATTAACTTATAATTATGTTTTATAAATCCGTTAATTTATTTATAAATTCTTATATTTGTATAGACGCTAAAACAGAATACGGAACCTGCAAGCGGTAGCACATCCGATACTCAAAAGGTAACTGAGCCGAGAAAGAAAGAATCTGTTTCGACGCAGACGCAAACTCCTTCAGTTAGTCGATCGACACGATTTAATCATCAGGAAAATACGAATCTCACTCCGACATTGGTAAATTTAATTTTCTCACAAGGATTAGACGATACATACATTTGGAGATTTTTACATGGCTACATTTTTTCTCGTAGCAAGCTCTTTCTCTTGGTACGAATAAAACACGGACTTCTACGGTTGGCGTTGATCTTCAGACTTCTCCTCCTTCTCCGTCTCCGTCCGCGAGGCGACATCATCATCACCATCATCATCACAATAACAGGCATCACAGGCACCATGATGTACCTACAACACGTACCAGACAACACAATCATTCACAGGATTCTGGTAGATCCAGCGACAGTTCCGTCTCGCATAGTAGGACCTCCTTGGAGTCGACCGGTTATCGTTTGTTGGATTCGCCGCATAGGCACCATCATCGTTCAGCCGCGCAAACGCCGGTGAACACCGCACAATCCTCTCCTAGGCAGCACAGTAGCGGCACTCTGGAGACTAGATGCCACAAGAGTGGGACTCTCGAAAGTGTGAAAAATCAGAAATCTGTATCGTTAGTAGGAGAACCACCGCCACTGGGTCTATCACTTTCGACCAGCACACCTCTGTTTAAGAAGAAGACATTCACTGATCCACAACGCGAAGGTAGGGCTGGAAACTTGGACCTAGACAAAAGTAAAAATGGTAAGGATGTATAATATATTTATGTTTTTATGCTTTTGCCATAATTATTTGTTGCAAGCTCCCCCCCCCCCCACACACACACACGCGCGCGCGTATTTTTCTTTGTATCGATTGATTTTTCGATATTTTAGGCAGAGAAAGTAGTAGAGGCTCGTATGGTCCTGAGCCGAGTACATCGCCATATCGCGATTCTCTGATGGAATCCCGAGTCTTCAGGCAGGAAATGCCACCATATCGTCCGCCTGAGGTTCAACTTAGCCATAGTTACAAATCACAGAGCGAGAAGTATGGTTCCTTAATGGAGAGTGGCAATCGTTACCATAGGGATAGAGAACGGGAAATGCAGCAACATCATCGAGAACGAGTCAATAGTCTTGACAAGACGAACCCGCCAGGCTTTTATCCGAGTTCCATACATTCAAGAAACATGAATAAACAGCCGCAGGATGGTACAGGTAGCATAGGTAGAAGACATCATGGATGTTCCGCGTCGCTTTCGGAAGCAAATGTCAGGGACGTATATGGTGCAATGTTATCTGAGAGAAACGATCCTGCCAAGAGTCTCGGCAGATCTGCTGGCGTACATAGTGGTAATTCTTCAAAACAAAGAGGTCTTGAAGCGGTAGAGCGGGAGAGAGAGCGGGAGCGAGATAGGGAGAAGGAGTATAGGCGAAACACAGCGTGCAATAACTCATTGGATAGTAAGCAAGATAATCTTTATATTTCTTTCGCCACCTTCCTGTATATATGTGCACGTATCTTTTGCAATACATGAGTAATTATTATTTTACAAGGTGTGCCGCAGCCGTTGGGTCGTAGTTACAGTTTTGTGCAACAGCAAAAGCAGCAACAAAAGATACAGCAACAGTTACAGCAACAACAGCAACAACAGCAGCAAGCTAGAAGGAGAGAACGAGACGACGATGCTATGCACGAACGTTACTTGATGATAAGTCAAACCCACGAACAATCTAGACAGAGACTCAGTAGTAATACTAGCAGTAGTAACAGCAGCAACAGCAGCAGCAACAGTGCCGCGGGTGAAGAAACTGAGGGTCACGCCGAAGGAGACGATATCAAGAAGAAAAGAAGTAATGGAAATCCCAGTCCTCCGCCATCGCCGTTTTACGGTAACCTTCTGGCTGATGCTGATCATCTGTTACCGTTACAACATTATATCCTTCAACAAGCAAAATTATCAGGTAATAAATCAAAAATTTTTATGATATTGCAATTTTGTGCGATGGAATGTTTTATTATTTTTTTTCTTTTATTCACAATAGGTTGTTACAAGTTTGGAGATCCTTTATTAGTAGAAGAAGGGGAAGATTCTTTAGATGAAGAAGGTGGTAGAGGCGAAGGTATTGGCGGAAGAGGTGATGACGATTCCGATGATCAATTCGCCGACGACGAAGCGGCCAGCAATCAAGGCGATTCTTCCAGTCAAGAATATCTCGAGGATCATTACGCGGGTGAGATATTATTTTGAAGAGCATAAAATGTTATACGTTTTTATTGAACAGTTGTAATTAACGACGTATCTTGTATGTTTTTTAGATTTAGGTAATTACGATACCGCGGGCTTAGCGACTTACTATACCACAGCCGATACCCTGACAAGGCCGCAAGCGCGACCACCTTCACCGCCGAATATCGTGTCTCAAACGGAAGTGAGAGATAGCGTAGTGACTACTAGACAGGTCTCTGTACCCACCGTAAGTTCAACTCCGAGTATTGGTATAACGAATGTCGATAACACTGATCTGGAGGAAGCGCGAAGAGACGACAGTACGGGCGGTGGCGACATCGAAAAATATGCACAGGACAATCTCAATTTGAATTGCGGCAGACCGAAAGGACTGAGACTGCTATTTCGAAAGAAGTTCAGCGTTCGAGACATTCTCAGTTGGTCGAAAGATCCAATTCCGCAACCGATGCTCGCGATGGTGGACGGTGAGAAACTACTAAAAAGAGAGGCTTGCAATTTATTCCGATTGGTTCAAGTATATATGGGAGATCGCAAAGCAAATGTTGGTATGACATTGGACGGCGTCGCCATGGATATCGTGAATACCGCGTTCACGAAGCCGCCTCTGCGGGATGAATTGTACGTTCAGATCTGCCGACAGACGACGGAGAATCCGCGGAAGGAGAGCCTGCGACGCGGATGGGAATTGATGGCTGTGTGTTTGGCTTTCGTGCCGCCTAGCGCTACATTCGAGCCCTACCTGGAGGGCTACATGAATAGGCATCGCGATCCAAACTTCCAGTTTCCTGAGGTCGCCAAGTGGCCAATACACGTGCAAGTCAGTCATTACGCGACTGTAGCTTGCAGACGATTACAGCGGATCGGCGCGCACGGTAAACGACAGCCTCGCAAAGCTACGGTGGAAGATATCGACCAAGCGAGGGTAATAATTTGCACTAACAATTACTAAAATATCAATTATCGAATATAGATTAATTCACTTTGCATTACAATACAATATTCTGACATCCTTTGTGCTTTTTTTATAGATACAAATCTTCCGCGCGTCTATGTTCGGCGCGACACTCTCGGAAGTAATGGCTTTACAAAGGGACCGCTTCCCGCTTAGAGAGTTACCATGGATACAGACTACGCTGACACGCCAAGTGCTTGTGCGTGGTGGTACGCTAACTGAGGGTATCTTCCGGGTGTCTGCGGACGCCGATGAAGTCAGCGCGTTGAAATCTTGTCTGGACAGGTTTGAGGATGGTGCGATTCTGGCAGCTTCACAGGACGCTCATGCACCCGCCTCCTTATTGAAATTATGGGTACGCGAGTTGTACGAGCCGTTGATACCGGATTCCTTCTACGTAGAATGCGTGTCCATGCGGCATGACGATCCGGAAGCGTCTGCGGCAAATGTGGCTGCGCTTGTCGAACGTTTACCGGATCTTAACCGTCGTGTGCTGTGTCATCTAATACGTTTCCTACAGGTAAGAAGTCATTTTATACATAAATCGATAAGAGAAAGTCGAATGAAAATTTGTCTGTTATTTTCATCGTGCGCTTAGCGATGTGCAATCGTGTGATTCTAAATTTATATCGAACAAAATATCACACTTCTTTAAATAAAGTATAAACCTATATACACAGTAACATTTAATGTTATACGCATGGTGAGAGTATGAAGACTCAAGAGCAGCATGCACTCTATATCATTGAATCAAATTGAATTGAACGTCTTTGGAGAACATGTGCTACGATACTGAAACAATTTTACAGATATTCGCTAGACCCGAGGTGGTTGCCCGTACTAAAATGGACGCCAATAATCTTGCGATGGTGATGGCGCCGAATGTATTGCGGTGTACGTCCCAAGATCCTCGGGTAATTTTAGAGAATGCACGGAAGGAGATGGCCTTCGTCCGTACTCTCATCGAGTCATTAGACACCGCTTGGGTCGATGATCTTCACTGACCGTATCCTATCGCGCTAGAAAAAAGTCCGCTCTAGACTATTATGCCAAATGAATCAGCTGTATAGTCACGTCTATTGTTAGTTATCTCTTTCTCTCTCTTTCACTGTTCTCAATTTATCTTCACACACTCTTCTTGTTTGTCCAGTCACCAGTTTTTCCCCATAGTCCTCCTATATAAATGTTCTTCGTAACGGTAATTTAGTGCTAAAGTCTACCAAGCTAATCGATCAAACCTGCTCCCTTATTTCCTATTTATTATTTATATACAGATTCTATGTTATATGACAGATTTTAGAGATTATATTAGATTATATTATGTATATCGCTATATTATATCATATTATATATTTTACCAATCCCTTGTTACCGCGTCGAACAAACGTGGACGGCTTTTTTACTCAATCATTGTTGAATCTCGTGTAAGATAAAAGAGAAGAATCATGTGTTACCGTGTATAGCTGCGCTCCGCGATAATCTTTTTGTATAAGCGACGGATTAACGTGTAAAGCGTTTTATCGAGGAGTAAACACTGCGAAAGATTAGCAAGCTGTAGTCGCAGGTGTGTTTCTTCCCCCGAGATCTCCAAGAACAAATATAACACATTTTACATAAACTTCCACGAATACACAAATCTCACATATATTTTATAAAAATATCCCCATTTTATTTTTGTGCAATAGTATCCATACTTATAACTAATAAACTTTATTTTACAATGCAACAATCTATACAGATATAAAAAAAATAGCTCGGAGTATTCTTGTCATAAACAAGAATTGCCTTTTCATTACATGTTTTGTACATTTTATTTATAAAGATTATGAGCAAATAGCAGTATAGTTTGTCGTCTTTGAGTCACCGCATTTTGCGCATCTTTTTTTTTTTTATAGTTCTTAAGCAAGAGAATATCACAACCTATCGTTATATTTGTATTGCGAGAGACAATACGATAATCATATCATCGTATGAAACAGAATAAGTGTTAATGTATAATACATAGATCGGCTTAATAGAAGCCTTACATTAGTAATCACTCAAGACTCTCTAGCGATAATCACATCCATAAGAAATTAATTTTAATGCGTTACGTCTACTGTTATATACAACATGTACATAGTAAATTGATCAATACTAATACTGAAGAAATCGTTACCAAAAAGAAAAAAAGCATAGCGAGAAGTTCAACTTTTCTATCGAAAGCACGCTCATGGCTTTGATTTCGCTTCTAGACGTTTATTCGCTAAGAATTTCTCTTCTTACGAACTGCTTTCGCAATCAATCGTGTTATTAGAATCTAATCTTCGCCGACGGGACAAATCTCCAGGAACTCGATTATAGATGTGTAGAGCAATGAGTTGCGTCAGATCGTCTCGTCCATAGAAGTGTTAATTGGTAGCTCGTGCCGCATTTGAAGAAAACGGCAGATCGCGATAAATAGAGAAAGAGAGCACAAGTACATAAAACCGCCTCTTCCATCGGTATATTGTCGGCGAAAAAAATTACGAGGATTACCGCGATTCTCTCGTTTCGTTTCATCATCATTATCGTCATCATCATCATCGTTGTCCGACTTTCAAGAATCGCCTCTGGATAGTAGCAGCTGCGTTTTTGTAATTATATGACGCGCCCAAAATGCGATTTCCCGCCGCGGAACGGATCGTCAGCAATTGTCGACGAACGTGGCGGTAGATCCGCTCGCGATCTCTGCGTACTCTTGTCTGCTAACCGAGCAAAGCTTGCTGGAGAAATCCGCTTCGCGTTTTCTAAAAGCGGTACAAAGTTAAGTGTATATCTACAAGAAGACAATCCCAAAACCATTATTGGTTGCATTCAACAGAAAAAGCAGTTTTTGTAACCCAGATAGCACACAAATGTTTTGTGAATGTTCTATAAATATTCTAAGAATATTCTACGAATGTATATTAAAAGCACTGTCAAATATTAATGATATATTTATAGTATATTCAAATGGCATAATTATAATGTTCTGTGAACATACTTAATATTTTGTACAAAGTTTCATGGAATATGCTATGTATTTTTATACGAATATGTTATGGAACATTCTATAAATGTTCTTTTCATTATGAATATGGATCTAAATAGAATATTTTATGTATATTTATAGAACATTTGAGTCAAATATTATGAAAAATATTTGTATTTTACGAGAATATTCATCGAATGTTTTATGCTATTTGGGAAGATTCTTTAATATGGTTTTTAACGTCTTACCGAATTTAATATAAACTAATCATATTAAAGATCATATAGATAATCATATTATCTTATAACGGTTGCAAAACTACTTTTTCTGCTAAATGTAGCAGTTGTCACACTCTAGTTTCTCACCCTCTGCCCGGAAGATCCATAGCATCCACTTTGACGCTGTTAACATACAGACGATCATTACACCAGAAGAAGCACAGGGATCTGGGCTGCAGTACGTCCATGTCGTAGACCCAGGAGAGTTCAATCCGTCGTATCTTACCGATGTTGCCGATGGAACCGGTCGGATGAGCAACGACCATCCGCGCGGTCGATCCGTGCTCCAGTTTCATGTAACCGCTGCGGGGGAGGGATAGTTCGTTAAAAAATAGGCAGGTAGAAAAGAACTGGACGGGGGAGGGGGAGGAGGAGATGGGCGTTCGAGCGCTAGAATATATATTCTCCGATGTTTTTATGTGGCTCGTTGTTTACGATCACGCAGCATCGGTTGCGAAACGTGAAATTAAATATACATATATAGTTGCCCTGACAACAATTTTTCTTGGAATCCTTTATATAATTTTTCAGGATTCAGGATTTTCTGAATTTGTCAGAATTCTTGTATAATTCTGTAATTTTTTAGAAGTTTCACAAATTTTTTACGGACTGGAACACTCAAAAAGTGTTGAGATAGTCCAGCAAATAAGTGTAAGTCAAAATGACGAAAAATAATATCAGCTTGTTTGCTGAACTTTCTCAGTATTTCGTCAAAACGACGACAAATAACGTTAACTTGTTTGCTGGACTTTCTCAGCATTTCGTTAAAACGACGACAAATAACGTTACACGGAAAGAATTTTTTTTAGAGTTTATCCTGAAAATATGATAGTTCTGGGACAACACTATTTCGAAGAATTTTATGTAAATTTCTCTCATTCATTAATAAAACTACAATAAAATATAAAATAAATTTGATTAATTTTACTAAACTTTACCTGCACAGTAAAAAATTTTCAAAATATTGTATTGTACCGCAACTATCATATTTTCAAGGAATTGAATTTTAAAAGATAATTCTCTCCATGTAGCTTGTTTGCTAGGAATCTAGATATATCTTTTCTGAAATTTTTTAAATACATAAATTCTGAAATATTTAAAAATTTCTCAGTCTATCGTTTCCGAAGGAAACATATAAAAAGTTTAAGATATTTTTTAGAAACCATCATAAATTTAAGACACGATAAATGAGAACTTTTTTCACCAAGATGATTAATTTGTATTATTAATCTTCGCAGTCGCAATGACCAAGAGCGACATAGACGAATGTGGGTTGTCGAAGCGATAACGTTCGCCAGCATGATTACTTACCTGGGCGTAAGATCCATGTTGCGTATCATGCCTTTGTCGGCGTGGAGAGTGACTTTCATGAAGCCCTGCACCCAGCTCTCCGCGGTCGGCGGTTGGGCGAGGTTGATGGTAATTCTATAATGTCTTCCTAAAAGGTGATTATGATTGGTATCAGAGAGTATCTCAAGAGAGATCGAGGGGGAAAGAAGAGAGAAAGAGAGAGAAAGGGGGAGCTCCGTTTACTGCTTTTATCGCGGTACGCGCGCGGAGAAAGTCGCGTCTTTCGCGATAGAGAAAAGCCGCATTGCTCAGTAGATATTCTTCTCTTCGCATCGATAGCGAGAAGTTAACAGACGTCTATACAGGCAAATTGAATAAATTTCGATCGAAATTAACGTTCATATCTGGCGGGCAAGATTTTTAATTGCGATTGCAATATTTCTTGCACGACGTTATGATATACAATCAAAATATCTATTTAAAATCATGAGAGAACATTGCATTGTAATGAAACATTGTAATGGAAAGCTGATGATTTCGATGATGTTCTTAAGCTACAGTTATTATTACTGGGAAAGTTAATAGTTATCGTTTTTAATTTTATAACGTCAAAATTCATCAGCATTAGCATAAGTAATCTTAATATCGAAGATTATATAGCCAACCTGGATTATACGTATCTATAGATACTAGATAGCAAGAAATAGCGTTTGAATTTATTTTCGTTAACACCATTTAATCCTTCGGAGCTAACGATGAACTCCACGAGTTTTTATTACAGTTACTGACGTTGGATTTGTAAGACTCATTTAATTTATGTTAATTAAAAGGCTCTCTAATTAATTTCAAAGGACTACCTAAGCGGAACAACAAATCACAATAATATTAAAATGGCGTTAAAATAGTAATGATTGAAAAGTAACTGTTATTCATCATTTTGGAGTCATTTTGGTATAATGATGACTTGTGTTCTTCTTGAGCAAAATGACATAACTCGTATAAAAAAGAATGTATGTAAGACCAGTATTTATAGTCGGTTCTTATTTTAAGATCATCTTAAGTAATATCTTAAAATATTAATGCAGCCCTCCTTCGTAATATTTTAAGTCTGTACTTAAGACGGTCTTAAATATAAGAATCGATTATAAATACCAGCCTAAGTATATTTCAATAAGAATAATCTAAATTTGGAGATGTAACATAAAGAAAATTTGAATTGTTTGACATTTTTGACCAAGAGATTTATAATTGAGTGGGTTCAATAGATCTACCGTCACTTCCGGAAGATTAAGAATCTGCTCAACCGCTTTCAACAGATATCGTACTCACTGCAATAAGGATCATCTTTGCCCGTCATAAAGAAGAATTTGGAGCCCAACAAGGACGAGACATCTTGTCCCATGGCTTGACGTTTTATCAGCGCAGGACTGGTGTCCGCGTGGTAACCCATTACGCCGCAGCTCAGGCTATTGTTGCTCTTGCAGGAGAAGCACTCGCCTCGCAAGAAGCTTGCGTAGCTCGAGCACTCGTGCGCCACGTACTGGCACTTGGAGTTGATGCTCTCGATGAAGAGTTTGAGCGCGCGCACGTGGTTGCAGGCGACCAGGACGCGCGAAGCCTCCTCGAGGCCCTCTCGTATTAAGGTAAGCGGCAGTGATGGCGTGGTCTCGCTCAGATCCGTGCAGCCGGGCTGTTCCTTGCCGTTGTTAGGATAGAAATCCAGGTGTCCGCAAGGCTGGCTCATCCCATATCCTGGAAGGCCTTGCCATGTACTACGTTAGTTTAGAGAATGTGACTCACAGTGGGAATGCGACGGAGCTCCATTTATTAGAGAATGATTATCGAAATGATGACTGACGAATATTGTTACACATATATTTAATAAATAAGGATTTTATCAAATAAAGCTATATTCTATCTAGAAGCTATATGCTATCTAGAAAGAAAAAAATCTGATCGTATTAATTGAAAATTGAATAGAGTATGTCTTGGAAAATAAACGAAGCAAAATTCTTCTATAAATTATGAGATAAGCATGATTAAGTCCTTCCTGTTAAACATACTAAAATTTCTTGATAATAATATTATATAAAATTATTTAGTTTGATCAATATAACTTTTTAATTTAAAAAAAAAAAAGAACATTTAGTGAATACATTAGAAATTTTTTTAAATCTGTTTACGTTGCTTGAAATTTCCAAAAATTTTTACACTTAAGATATTTCTCTTTTTAAGAAGTTTTTGAATTACCAAGTTTTCACATGAGATTTTATAAATTGATGAACTTAGTTTTCTGAATTCTTGTCATTCGCTAAGTTACAAGTGTTTTATAATGTTCTTAGCTGATTGGAAAATTAAACATTGATTTTTTCGTAATTCTAGTAGATTCGTCATCTTTCGAGTGTTCATTCTAATCAATAGAACTTCCTAGTTTTTCGTTACATGCACGGTCGAACTCAATAAGAAATCTATTCGAAGCGGTAGTGTCTATTGCGCGTTTACCTAAGAAAAATATGCTCTTTCCATCGGTGTGAATTCCTTGGAAATATGGCTCCGCAGGATCCAACCCGGTAATACGTCCAATATTGCCACCCAATTTCTCGCCCGCATAACCGGCTGTGTGGGCACCGAGGCTGTGCCCGATTAAATGTACGTCGTTCGGATCTAGGCCGTAATTTGTCTGAAATTTTATCAGAAATAAGAATAAATATATAAATACAGTATTTTGCTACAATCATACAATTAAAAAAATATATAACATAAAACTATAAAACGATTTACGTCATACTTGATGCTACGAATGTTTTAGAGATTTTTTGATTAGTCAATTAATAATAAAATTCTTTTTTCTGATTAATCAATTAAATGTTTCGCAATACTTGTAGCGGTAAGTGGATCGGATTATAATAATGTGTATAAATGACGTACTTATATATTTAACGTTTGTATATATTTGTATATATTATATTTAGTGAATTTATAAATCTAGGATGACTTGGACACCCCACACGCGAGTAATAAAGGATTAATGGGATAATCTAGAAACATCTCTTACTTGTAAGTGCTTGATGAGATGAGCTATTTCGAGTCCAACCAGTCTCGTGTTCGCTGTCGCTTGAGTGTACAAAGGTAGACTTCCACCAGCCCAATCGACCACGATAACATTGTAATCACCGTGCACCAACAGTTCACTCCTCATTTCCTACGAGTATATTTTGTGGGTAAATAATTGGCGGTAATTTTCGCTTGTTATTTAAGAAACTGCGTCTGTCATCAAATGTAACTGTGTCACTAGGTCGCGTATATCTATTTGAAACATTGACGCAATGTAGCAGAAAAGTACATTTCTTTACCAATACGTCTAGCTCGCAATAGACGACGATGGTCGGGCGATGGAGATGCACGATGTAGACTAGTTTTTTACATACATGCAATTGGTATTATAAATACGACAGTTTGATTGCGAATACATAAAGCAAAGATTTCTATAAAAATCTAGGACGATAAACGAGTATCTGTATAGGAATAATAAAAGAATAAAGCTCACCTTGACCCAGTTGCTGAGTGGAGTGTCTATAAAGCCATGTATAATGAATTTGGTTTGTCGCTTAGGATTGAAGTTCGAGTTTTCGATGGATTTATTCTTGGCCACTTTTAATATTTGACCCTGAGGGAAAAATGACTGGACATTATTAAGTGTACACATCTGTGAGAGAATAAATTATTCGAAGAGTTTGTTCAAAATCATTTATGTCAATTTTAAATCTCAAATGCATGACGCATATACATTATTATTATTGAGAAAGACAAATGCATGCTAATTGCAAGAATTATATTCATATATAGATACGCGCGTATTTGTTTCCAAGGAAAAAAATATTAGCAAAAAAGAAAGTTATGAGATATCACAGATTTGCATTATGTTTTTTTAAAAAAATTTACAATTATCTTATCTTAATTTACAATTATTACCATTCGAAAGCAAAGTGCAAGTTTCAGCTTTAAGAATCTATTTTTTGAATTGCAGTGCGACGATTTTTAACGGAGTTGTAAGGACGAAAGTTAAAATGCTTCTTTTATTTAATTCGCGAACTCAGTAAAAAATTTTAGGAATATTAAAAAAAAAAACAATTTTGTAACGAAAACTTTTACGTTAAAAAGTCGACATTTTTCTCAAATTTTTTAAGGCATATAACAGGTTTATAGCATGAGAAGAAAATTTCCTATTTTGTTGAGCTTGTAAATTTTCTGTGTAAAAATTATCAAACTCACTGGAACTCAAAAAAACATAGTGACCTTCTAAAAATATTGATTTGAAAGCTTCCAAACTTTTTCTTTTAATTTAAATTGTTCATTTTTAATGAAATTATACACGCACAGCTAGTTGAACATAGAAGTTCGATATAGAACTACGAGCTTTCATTTCAATCCAATATTTGCCAATTCCGTCAATCGTAAAGCGTATATGCAAAAGCATTTTAATTTCACGATTCAGCGGTTTTATGCGAAGTAAGTGATATACGTTTGCGTGTGCAGTTATGGTAGAGGTATGTGATTTCACCGCTCATGTTATGTTGCTGATATATCACGCTCGATACTTCGCACAGACCTGTGGTTCTCTTCCTCCTATTCATTAATTCATAAATCAGAGATCTTATCAGAGATCTTCGCGCACGTAAGAATAGTGTGTGGCACATTGCACCGCTGCCTGCACATTGATATTAATGGAGTTAATTAATGGAGTTAATTAAGATATCCATTGGGTTCAATATCGACAGCTGATCCTATACGCGATATGAGACAAGAGGATGGAGGATATTCTCATTCGGTTATTCTTGTCGCAAGACAGACTCTGATGAGCTCTTTCAATACAATTTCTCAATATACGCGGTTATATGCGGAAGCGTTTACATTAAATTTACTAGCTATGAAATTCCAGTCGTCGAAGAATTTTGATCCATTTCACCCAGGTTTCACTTTCGCGTTAAGAGCCAAAACGCAAGACGTACTTTCGAAACACCCGTGCGATTTTTATTTGTAAAGTATCATCCACCTTTTCCAGTTCGTGTCGAATTTTTTGAAACTAATCACAGAAATGGATTAATTTATATTTTGACACATATGAAAATTAAAAATATGTTATTTATGTTATTTAATTCAAAATGTTATTTAATTCAAGGGATTGTATTATCATTGCTCCTTTAATTTCTAATAGCGTGGGGATAGTTAGGATTTCCTATTCCAGGTTCAAAATGAGGGTAATATTTTTCATAATAAATTCTTCGTGTTTTAAGATGTTTATTAAATGGATAATCAATTTAATTTATGATATTATTATTTCAGCTTCAGTTTATGATTACGTTTTAAATCGGATAGTAATTAGTGTGCAGTTTATACAGGATGATTCACTTTATTAATCTTAACAGGTAAATATTTTGAAAATATACAATTTTATCAAAAAACATTTCAAATAAAAATTGTACAGTATATAGAGAGACAATGATAATAATATTAGTTTTGAATAATGATAATATTATTTTTGAAATATTTATCTGTCGAGATTAAAATATAACCTGTATAACTGGAAGATGTATTTAAAATTTACATATTATTATAGGATTTAATCTTGACTACGTTTAGCCTTTATTTACTTTACTTTTTTTACTTATTCGATTGATTATGTAGCGATCTAGTTTAATTTTTTGCTATTTATCGAAGCATTGGTCTTTACTTACGTCCAAAGGATTTTGATTCGTGTAGAGGATGAATCTGGTATTAATAACTTCTCGCGGCAACGGGAAAACGTTGAGAGGTCGATGAATGAGGTGATACCAGCTCCTGGTGATGTTTAGGCAACCCAACTCGTCATAGCAGCGTGTCTCGTTTTCGACTAGAAAAAATTGTCTCTTCAGTGATTAATTTTGTTCGTTATAACAAAATTTAATTCTATATTCATAAATAATATGTATCTACTTTACAAAAAGAAAAACTTCATTGCTGGCAGCCCACAAGAGATGCATGTGTAAAAAATAACAAATTTTAATATACATATATTTCATGTATTGCACTGCCGGTCGAAATCATATATAAAATTTAAGAATATTTCAATGAAACATTACTTAAAAGTTCTGTTACATGCTTTATTTAATTTTTTTTCTTAATTTGAAGTAAATAGGTTAGTTGTGATTAACATAGTACTATTCAATTTTAAGAAACTGCTGCAGTAGAGTCTTTTTTCTAAAATTAAACTATTTCACACAACTGTTGATTATTTTAGAAGATGAATAGAAAAGTCTTCTATCAGGAAAAAAAATTTGTAGCTAGATCTAGATGCAATAAGTACAAAATACTCCTAAAATGTATGAATATTTTATTAATCTTTTTAATATTCATATAACATTCTAGTAATATTGTGTTTTATGGAGATTATTTAGATTAGTAAAATAATATATGAGATTAATTGTTAAGGTGGTTACTTTAACAAAAAAGGAATCTAATTTAGTGCTTTTATTGTAAAAAAAGTTGGTAAGAACATATTTTGTAAAATTTTCAAACATTTTATATTATTGTTCATTTTATTATAAAATATTGAATGAAATAACACACAAAAATTAAATATTATATTACGTAATCATAGTATATAATTGTTTTAACATAATTATATTATGAAATATTATATGTCATGGTACATGTTATATAATAAAAATATATTAAATTATACGTTATAATATTATATCAATTATATTAGTCTGCATATTATTCATATAGTAGACATTTTTAATTAATGGTCTCAAACTTTCGGCCGGCAGAGTATACGTGTCTTGGACATTGTAAAGAAGAATAAAATGTACTCCCAACATTACTGCGATCGAATTTTTTATCTAATCTGTATGATAGTTACAAGGCAGCCAAGGTATGTTGACTTCGATCCGATCGCTGCGCGCCCACTGCCAAGGGTCCAGGATTCCGGCGGAGCAGATAACAGGAGTCAATGCGACGAGGAGCAGGATCAAAGTTCCTTCGCCATTGTCGCCGACTCCTCGTCCATTCATGCCGCTCCTCATCCTCATCCTAAAAAAAACCCGACGCGATCGATAACAATTTACACAGTGTCGCTAATTCGCTAATGTACTAATGTTGCGTACTAATGTTTGAATCATGATGATGAGTTTTCTTTCATTTTTTTATACTCAATCGCCAATTAAAATTAATGTAAATTTTCTCCAAACAAAAGGATTGTTTTGATAAATAAAAAAGTAAAGAAAAAAGTATTATATATCGAAGATTATTACGGAAACATATTGCGAGCGCACTGGAATACGAATGCATGCAAAACTATTGAACGAACACTATGACTGTTTGTCGAACTTGTATTGGGCAAATATTGCGTGTTGCACGAGGATTAAATCACTACTAAATGTTTGAAAGGATGATCACTGAATCTAAAAGCGCTGAGAATAATGTTGGTGGGAGTTGAAGAGCCTTCGAACTCTTGTGAGCTAATAAAATCTCCAATCGTTTAGGGGAAAGATATTTGGCAAGGCGGACTGCACACATTTATGTTCAGATCACCTCGATGTTCAATTAATTGTTACCTCATGCTTCAAAAAGAAGTGGCCGGATTTTTTAATTCACTTCTAAATGATCACGCATTTTACTTTACATTTGACATTAGCGTCTATAACGTTTAATGTTAAGGTCTTGGTAGAAAAATTTTCATGCATGAATATATATATATACATATATATATATATATATATATATATATATATATATATGCAGAAATATGTATAAATATTCACATACATATCTAATTATGTACGAAATACATCCATACATTTTTTTCTTTTAAACTTATTTTTTGTAAACTTTTTGTTCTTTTAAACTTATTTTTATTTTTTGTAAACTTATTTTTTAGTGTAATAAAAATAAAATAATAATAATGAGAAAATATAAAAAATAATTGAAGGGACAATTATCGCATTGTTTGTTTTAGTAAGAAAATCACGTTTAGAGAAGTGTAAAAAAAATTGCTGGAAAAATGTAAAAAAAATTGTATGTATAATTTTACATACAATTGTATATCAGTAACTTTTTTACATTTCTCCAAACTTTCTTCTAAAACAAATGGTGTAAAAATTATTCTTTTAATTGTTTTCAATGTTTTTTCATTATTATTATTTTTATTACACTAACAAGTAATTTTAGAAAAAAAGAAGGACATATTTCATATATAACTATATATATTTATAAGTATTTAACAGAATTTTATGTTTACACATATTTATATACATTCATGCACGAAACATTTTATAAGCCGACAGTAACATTTGTTTATCCGGGTCTTTGTCTGTTCGAATTGACGTTGTCATAATCACGCGATGTATATGCGTATATCATTACTTGCTCTACGATATTCGTACTGCGTGTGATTTATAATGACATGTTGGCGGCCACGATAATAGAATGAGGAAGAGGAAGCCAAACCTCAGTTAACGTATTGGATATTTCGATGATATAACTCGGCCTATCTGTGTTCATCGTTACGGGTTTCAGACGTCACTTTTGCAATAAAGAAATGATCGTTAATCATATATTTGTTGAATAATAATCGCGTTGCTAATTGCATTCATCAATGAGCGAAATTTGCGAGTTTTTCAAGAAATTCTTTGCCATGCATCGGAATCGAGCTCGAACATTAATGGAATGATTGTTCTACTTGCAGCCTTCATTAGCTTATGCAATGAGGATTAGCTTATGATTATGCAATTGCGCGAGTATCGCATCTCATTGAATCTAAGATTATGTCATGCGCGTATATTGTACTTACGTAGAGATCGAGGGTTCACGATTGCAGGGATATATAACGGCTAGAAGCAACTCCTTGTGAGCATTATCACGTTAAGTTACCATTGATGCACGCTTTCACCGGCCAACTAAGCTATTCCGGTTATTCGTAGCGGAAAACGTGCATATTCAACGATCGACGTTAATAGATTGTTAGTTTAAGTGCACTATCCGGTAAACAGATCGCATCGAGTCATTTGGAATTGGTCGAGATCAACGAAGTGGCACGAGAGATCATTATTTGCTGGCGGAAACGCGATAGAGAGTGGCGAACAAAATGTCTTTATTATAAAAGAATCAAAATAGTTTCCAGAGTTTAATGGAAAATACGAATGTTACACATATATCGGCACCTACTCTTAGCACCGAGACATTACCGTATCTTTTGATATTTCTTCTTATTGTCCAACATTGATAATGAGAAAAAATATGTGGATACATAAAAAAAGAAACGATTGTCATGGATTGATTATCATGGAAATAATAGCAACATGTAAACAAATAAAATATTAAAGAAATATTCATATTTACTGTAATAATATTGCAATTATATTTACACAATTGGATAATTTGCATTAAAATTAACACATTTTATATGTTTCAAACAATCCATTTAAATTTTTGCATTACTTTAATACTAGATAAATATGTTAGAAAGTAACACAAATATTATATAAAAAAAATAATATAAAAAGTGTACTGATATAATTTGTAAGCAAACTGCGAAAGCATATTTTTTCAATAAAATTTATAATATATTAAATTAATATGTATTTTTATTCACTTATTTTAGAATTTACGTCTTAAAATGCATTATTTTTATGTTACTTATTCATTCATTTATAAATTGTGTTATTTTAATATTAAAAAATGTCGAACATGATTTAAAACGTTCAAATAACATAATCATAAAAATTCAATACAAATTTTTGACAAGGACTTGACAAAGACGTTTCTAACATAAATACAAAAAATGTTTTTAATATATACAAAAATAGTATTAATTTTTTTTAGATCTAATTTTTTTTACATCTTGATATTTTGTACTATATCAATACTAATTTGAAATTATCATGATTTATAGTAGAATTTTTCATAATTAGTATAATTATAAAAATATAAGATCACTATTACTACATTATAATAGCAACAATTATGAACATTCTTGACCATAATTATTTTATTTATAATTACAAATACCAAACACATTTTTCCTTTTAATAAAGCCACAAATTTTTTAATTTTCGCTCTTCAGAAAATCTCGGAGCATTCAATTTTTCTGCGCAAAGATAAAACGGAATTGAAATCCGATAACATCTTTTTCTGCCTCTTCGTAACATCGCTGAAAGACGTCATGAAATTAAGATTGGAATGGAGTCTCTGGTTATCGTTTAAGGTAAATTATTCTTGAATTAATTATTTACAGCGATAAATAGATAGATATCGGGGTGGAGGTATGCATTGGAAGGAACGGAATGTAACGGGTGGAGCAAGAATAATTCGAAACCTGTTGCCGAACAAATATGGGCAGCGCCGCGCGTTATTTTCTGCATTCCTCAAATGAGCAGCTGTATATTGAGGCCTGGAGGCTTGTCTTCCAATCGCATACGTCGTTTCAATGAGTCACGTATAAAGAATACAGTATAAACAGTGTTCTGCCTTGGAGCGCTTTATTATCCGCCTCTATCATGATTGTGAGCAATTCTGAGGCGTATACACAATACGTGTATATCGTTTTCGAGCTGTATGCATGAACTGTTCAGTTCATGCATACAGCTCGTTCATCAACTGCTCATGATATGGCAGTTGTTTTTTTTTTGCCTTTGTATCGCCACTTTCCCTCTATTTCCGCAGAATATTCCTAGAGGCGAAATATGTAAATGTTGCGATTATTCTCGGTTATCCATGTCTGATTGGCGTAGAACGACATTGACACAATAATTGCCGCAGTATCTCGAAAGTTGTATGTTAATGTCCTTTTATCCAGTCGTTGCTTTATTAATTGCTTGCGTTGCTTACGATTTTAATATGTAGAATAAGGTTGCTGAAATTGCATCATTTTTAAGATAAAGGCTTATAACTCAGGAATTGTAAAGAATATTCTTAAGTTTTTTTTTACAGCATAACAAATTATAGTCTCTTTTCTCTTCCTTGTATATTTTTATTATTTTTTGCGTTATAACGTTTTAAATGAGAATTTTTAAATAAAAAAAATTTTAAAATTAAAGGAGAAAGATTGTATTTTAATATGCTGTTAAAAGTTTAAGAATATTTTTCATAATTTCTGGAACAAATAGTAATATTTTAGAAGGTAATTCAAAGAGTTTCTATGTGAAAAAAATAAATACTTTGCAGATTTAAAGACATATATATTTTTATATATATAATAAAAAGGAATAAAAATGTAAGAAATTATTATAAGTAAGTAATATAAAGCATGCGATTTAGAATCGAGATTAGATTGTGGTACAATTTAGAAAACTAAATAGAGTTTTTTGCAAAACTTTATTTATTTAATCTATTGTAAAGAATGTAAAAAGAAACTTTATAATCTTATTAATCTTATTTTAATAATAGCATTTCAATCACGACAATGTATCAAAACACAGGCTATTTAACTTACATTTTCTGCAATTCAGCTATATGAAATATGTTGAAAATAGCAATACTTACGTTTTTCCTTATTTACATAAAAAACAACTTCTATATTGCGCTTTGTATCACTTAGTAGTGCAACACAGCAGTGTTGCACGAGTATCATCCCATGTAGTTCTTGAATAATTCATGAGTAAGTGTGTAAGTATAATAATTGAATTTTTAGGCGAGATAATGCTATTTAAGAAGTCGGTACAATTTCGACAATCTTACCTTACACGGAAAGAATTTTATCTAACATAAGTATTTTAAGTAGATCTTAAATTAATTTTGTTGGCCCATCAACACGATTATGTATAATAAATTCAAACATGACGAACAATGCTACAAAAAGTTTTGAGATTTTAGCAATCAGTTGAGCGTCCTATATGTATAATTATTTTATTTAATAAAATTATTGTGAAATCTGTATCCAATTAAATTTTTAAACGAAACCGTTCTTTCTGTGTACTCTGAAAAAAGTCTTGTTGCATTAATTTCAACAGTACGAAAGTTGCAGCAATATTGCTTCAATACTTTTATATCGATCTGTTATATATAACTGGATATTGTGAAAAATATTGCATAAA